CGCATGTCAGAAGTCCGGGTTTCAAATCCCGGCACGGCAATTGGCCATGCACTGCTGATGAGCTCTAATAAGAGCGAAACTCGAGTCCGGTGCTTACCTTTGGTGTGGACTCACCGGAATACTTACGCCAGAACAGGAACATGACCGCTCAAACGACCGTGGTGTGACTATGAACAGAATACCTATTCCACAAAACCCCCAACATCTGAAATAATGCTCAGGTCTGTTCAATTTAATACTACCCAAGGGTGTGTGTGTTTTATTTTTTATCGTCTATCTTAAGAACATGGGGCTCATTCACTGGGTTTTGCTATCAGTGGTAGTAACCGCACGCAACGCACCCGTTTTTGTTCCTGCTTTTGTCTCTTTTTCGCCGAAAATATAACGATAAATGCACATTTTGTAGGAAGTTGAATTTTGCCGAAGGCGACTAGCATTGATTCGTACTTTTGATAAAACAATCCGGCTATTTGCCTGGAAACCAAACTAAATTATTAGATAATTTGGCGATAATGGGACGGTTCTTGACAAAACGATCCTTATCTGAACCGGACATGGACAAAGGAGATGAATGAATTTCAATGGTAGGAACAAAAAAAATAAATATCCGGGTTATGTACGTGAAAAATAAAAAGACATCAGTGGTTTGAGAGCAGTGCATCGATCAATAAGTAAGCGAAAAGTCGATCATCTCTTACGAATCAGGTTGTGAATTCGTCGCTGGTGAGGATATGTGATGCTAGTGAAAAAAACTGTTCAGCTGTAACACCCTTTCCGTGCCTAGCTGCCATGCCACCCGAAGGAAGCACGAGGGCTGGGATACTGCCAGGTTGTCCAAGCCTAGACACGGAAGTTGAGAGGCAGATGATGTTACTACATACAGGCGAAGTGGCAGAACATCGCACCGACTGAAACATGAGGTGCCCTGGTGCCGCACACCTAGCTGAAGAAGAACCCCGTAAACCAGGGATTCAGCTGGGACTAAGTTGAGTTCCCAGTAGAAGCCAAAATGGGTGCACAAATGACCGCATTAGTTAAATTTCATGCAATCCGCTTTCAAGGAGAACATGAAATTGACAGTAACTTCCAGACTGTGTCCAGTTGCTGAGCCTCAGGATGGGCGAAACAGGTTGTGTACTGTTGAAGATTTTTCAGCAACCTTATGAGTAGTGTGTTCTTTATTCAAAAGTAAAAAAGATTTAGGGCGAACACTCTAACCTGCGGAAATTTCGCGAGGACTAGGATAAAAACGCCAAAGAGGGTAATCACACTTACTACAAACTGACTCTTCAATTCCGTTTGCATTGCACGTAGTTCATTTGCCAACTGAAGCAATTCTTCACGCTCCTTTTCTTTCCTTTCGTTAAGTTCGCTGTGTGATGAATTCGTAAAAGTTTGGACTATATGAATCAACTTTTAACAGTTGTTCGTGGGTGACTGTTTACATTTTAAGTGGAAAATACACAAAGGTAACTGTTCACCGAATGATCTTCGAAATTTGTAGTTTTGGTCACTACCGTTTTTAATTGGCTTCCTGGTCGGCCATATGATCATCGCCAAGAGCGTCAACATCATCGTCTCCATAGTTATCGTAAATGGCGTAATCGTCTACCTTGACGTCGACGGCAATAAACCATTAATAATCAGTAAGGCTTCCGGACGTGTGAGAGTGTACGGAGAGCTCTCCAAAAGCTTCCGTACACAAAGCGGTGTCCGTCAGGGATGCCCAATCACTCTCCATTCCACTTTAACTTCGTGATCGATGAAATAATGAGACGAACGCTGGAGGGT